TACAACTAGTGTTTTCTCTTTTATGCCAAACAATTTAAATTAATGATGACCAAAAATAATAGGGCTGATTTGTGCCTAATTTAATCACCAAAATCAGCACTTAAACAATTATAAAAAGCCTTGAAATCTTCTTCATCTTTTGTAAATGGGCTTGACTTGGATTTCCGCCATCTTTGAATATCACCAATGAAGAGTTGTCTTAATCGTTGGGACTTGGGCCTTGTGATTGTCCCAATTGGTACTCTTTATGGATCTTCATTATGTTGGGCCGCATCATCCTCACCTTCTTGAAAATGATACGACCTCGAATCTTGTAAGCATTGTTTTCGATCCATGATATCACTTGAAATGGGCCACTATAATACTTTCCTCTATCGAATGGAATTATTATTGGGCCTTCTTGTTTCTTCCACCAATGATTCTTTAAGGATGTAGTTATGGGCTTTGTGATGAGCCCACTATAGACCCTTATTGGATTCCATGTGTACTGGTTCTTATTATTCTCCCCTTCTTGAAAAGGATTCGTCCTCGAATCCAAATCTTCAATGAAAGACAAAGTAGGAAGCTCACTTTCTGTTTTATCACGCTCATGGAACTCATTGAACTTCTTCTTGGGATGCTTGACACGAGTTGCTCCAATCTTCATCCTACAATAAACAAGTAAGGCGATTAAGTCTAATGACACAGCATGGAATTTAAACATTCTGAATGGTAATAGTTCAACAAAATTAGACATATTAAATTTAGTCATTTAGTTTGAATTATCAACAAGCACAACATCTTTCCTCCTAGAGCTTAAGGCTAAACCAAACACAAAATCCATTGAAATATCAAGTAATGATTTAGATGCATTGTGGTGGTAAGTAGCACAATTATGAACATAAGACTCTACATCTTTTTTCTTCTTTGGCCAATGAAAATATCCATGAAAAACATCATCATTCTTTAGAAAACCAAATTGTCCCTTATGTGAATCAATAATTAAACCATTGCTCAAATCAATAATTTAATCACCAAAATCAGCACTTAAATAATTATAAAAAGCCTTGAAATCTTCTTCATCTTTTGTAAATGGGCTTGACTTGGATTTCCACCATCTTTGAATATCACCAATGAAGAGTTGTCTTAATCGTTGGGACTTGGGCCTTGTGATTGTCCCAATTGGTACCCTTGATGGATCTTCATTATGTTGGGCCGCATCATCCTCACCTTCTTGAAAATGATTCGACCTCGAATCTTGTAAGCATTGTTTTCGATCCATGATATCACTTGAAATGTGCCACTATAATACTTTCCTCTATCGAATGGAATTATTATTGGGCCTTCTTGTTTCTTCCACTAATGATTCTTTAAGGATGTAGTTATGGGCCTTGTGATGAGCCCACTATAGACCCTTATTGGATTCCATGTGTACTGGTTCTTATTATTCTCCCCTTCTTGAAAAGGATTCGTCCTCGAATCCAAATCTTCAATGAAAGACAAAGTAGGAAGCTCACTTTCTGTTTTATCACGCTCATGGAACTCATTGAACTTCTTCTTGGGATGCTTGACACGAGTTGCTCCAATCTTCATCCTACAATAAACAAGTAAGGCGATTAAGTCTAATGACACAGCATGGAATTTAAACATTCTGAATGGTAATAGTTTAACAAAATTAGACATATTAAATTTAGCCATTTTGTTTGAATTATCAACAAGCACAACATCTTTCCTCCTAGAGCTTTAGGCTAAACCAAACACAAAGTCCATGGAAATATCAAGTAATGATTTAGATGCATTGTGGTGGTAAGTAGCACAATTATGAACATAAGATTCTACATCTTTTTTCTTCTTTGGCCAATGAAAATATCCATGAAAAACATCATCATTCTTTAGAAAACCAAATTGTCCCTTATGTGAATCAATAATTAAACCATTGCTCAAATCCAAGCAAAAAGTGTCAATCTCATTGACTTTGAACCAAAACTCCTTGAGCAAGTAGTATTTGCCCTAAGAAGTTTTCAAATGTGCCTTATAACTTTCCAGTGATTCCTTATCTCTATCAAATAAAGTTTTAGTAAAATCAAAGTTAAGGAATCTAGGATGTATGGATGCAAACAAATTTCTAACAGATCTAGCAAGTAGATCATTAATAGAAACATGGCAAACAAATCTAGAGAATTTTAATGCATGCTTTTGAAATAAAAGTGAGTAAATAGTTACTCCCCTTCTTTTCTCTTGCTTAATATCCTTTGTAGTGGCCAAGAGAGGTTGCACTTTGACACCTTGGGCTGGTCCTTTCCACTGTATCACTGATCGTGGTCCCTTTGTTTGGCTACAAACTGAGTTAGAGGATTGGAGTGGTGATTGCAATTCCGAACACGGAGGTTCCACCTTTCTCTCTTCGATTTCTTCCTTCTTTGAGGCTGGTTTGAGAGCTTGCATCAATGTCAATTGAATTTCTTCTACTTGTTTAGGATACAAACGAGGCAAGACATATATAACTCCATTCATGTGAAACACATAAGTGTTCCTCATTCCATCATAACTTATTTTTCTGTCAAATTGCCATGGTCTACCTAACAAGATATGAGCAGCCTGCATTGGGATATTGTCACACAAGATTTCATCAGAGTAACTGTTAATAGATAAAGGAATAAGATCCTGTTTGGGTACTCTAGCTTCTCCTGCATCAGTTAACCATTGCAAACAATAAGCATTTGGATGATTAAGCAAAGGTAACTGGAGAAATTTACCCATAACTACACTAGCCATATTTGTGCAACTTCTAGAATCTATTACCATAGCACAAGCGTTCTCTCTAATTGACCCTTTAGTACAAAATATATTTTCTCTTTGAGACTCATCTTCTTTTAAAGGGTGAACATTCAAAACCTCCTTAACAACAACAGTATGACTAGACTCACTATCAGCATATTTAGAATCGGTTTTTAAAGGTATAAATGGTTCTCCATCAACATGTTCATTGGGGGTTTCAAAATGGTCACAAACCTCATCCTCAGATTTATATTCAATACAAGAAGTAAAATTTTCAGATTGTGTTGTTATCTTAACTACCCTCTTGTTAGGACAATCATGAGCTATGTGGTCTTTCTCATTACATCTATAACAAATCAATTCTCTATCATGTTGAGTTCACTTACCTTTTGCTTACCTTTGTCTCGTGAATCATCTCTTGGAGGAGGATGTTCATCACGCTTTTGAGAGATGGAACGAGTGTTGTTCCATCTTGATGTATCATTTTTGGACTTGTACATTTTCATCTCTTTGATTTTTACCTCAGATTCACGTGCAGCATACAAGGCATCATAAAGGGTGTCATATCTCTGAAAACTCATTCCACATCGAATTTCTAAGTTCAATCCATGTACGAAACGAGCAACAGTTTTTGTCTCTTCTTCATGTATGTCTCCCTGTTTAAGCAAAATACTTATAGTTTGGTAGTACTCATCAACTGACTTTTTTCCTTGCACCGTTCCGTGCAATTTTCTTTCAAGATCATAGAAAAAAGATTTAGGACGAAAGGTTAGGCGCATATCTTCCCTCACTTGAACCCAAGATTCATAGGGAATAAAATTAGCAACTCTCTCTCTATTTCTTTTTCGCCACCAAGATAAAGCATACCCCTTAAAAGATGTAGCAACTAGCGTAATTTTTGTAATATCAGAATAATGCTTTAAATAGAAAAGAGTTTCAATAGCATTCTCTCATTCTATGTATTCAGTAGGTCATTTCTCACCCGTGAAGTTAGGAATTTCATGTTTAATGTTTCCTAACTCCGCATTACGCTGCTGGATCCTTTGACATCTAGGATCCACTCTTCCTGCTGGTGGCAGGTGTCGCTCATCATTGTGTGGTGATTGCACTTGCTGTGAGCGTTGCTCCAAATTATTCATTCGTTTGAGTAACCTGTCTATCTTTTGTTCTAATGTCTGGGGCAGGTTTGGAACTTATTCAGCCATCTGTAGAGGAAAAAAATATCTAAAAAAACAAGAAGATGTGTGAGTTGTCACGTTAGTGAAACCAAAAAGTTGGCTCGCTCCCTCACTATTCTCAGCTCGCAGGTAAGAGGTGGATTATATGGCTCTGGGGGTGCACTACACACTCTTACAAATACACACTCCACTCGTGTATCGCTCAAGGTGGCAGATACTCTCACAAGCCTTTTTCCAAAAAGGAAAATTCTAGTCCGGAACTCAAGTTGATATGGATTCAACCTCAAAGTTCAAGAAAACGTACCTTGTAAAACTTCACAAGCCTTTGACAGTAAGGTGTATTGCGAGGTAGGTAATAAAATTGAGAGCAAGAAGCAAAGAAAAAGGACAATACAAGCAAAGAAACTAAGCAAGATTTGAAAGAAAAAGGGAAGTAAAGAAAGAAGTATGACAGAAAGATATGCAGGACCAATATCAGAAGATAGGCACAAATAGAATGTAATAAGGGTGCAAGTGTACCACAACCAAATAAGAATTTATCAAGAACTCCTTCCAACCTTATACATTTCCCCTTCCTTGTCCCTCCAAAATTCTCCTACCAGCCAAATATAATATTTTCATCTCTAGCTATATCAACTTCAGGAGACGGTGCTTTCTTCCAACCTTGTATATCTGCTTGCTCATCACGTTCAACCTCAATGATCATATTGTGCATTATAATGCACAATGACATTATATCATGCAATACACATTTATCCCAAAAACATGCCGGTCCTTGACTATTGTAAATCGTGATTGGAGAACTCCAAATGCACGTTCTACATCTTTTCTACACGATTCTTGCATCATCGCAAATAACTTCTTTTTTAGCCCTCAAGGTTCATGAATTGTTTTACCCATGTGGACCATTTTGGATATATACCATCGGCTAAATAATATCATGTGTTGTAGTCATGTCCTTAAATAACATAATGACAAGGAGGTGCTACACCGTTTGCAAGATTTGCAAACAAATGAGATGCCTCCAAGACATTAATGTCATTATTAGACCCCGGCATGCCAAATTCACAAATCATAATCAGCTACAGCTTCAAGAATAATAGTTGGTTCTCTACTCCGCCCAGCATATTGTCCAGCCCAGCCAGTTGGACAATTTTTCCAAGTCCAGTGCATGTAATCTAAACTCCCAAGCATCCCTGGAAAACCACCTTTTTCACCAATTTGAAGCAACCGTGCAACATCATTAGCATCAGGTGCTCTTAGATATCGCTCCCCAAAGACCTCTACAATTGCTCAACAGAATCTCTTCAAACTTTCACGTGCAGTTGATTCTCCAATCTGGATATACTCATCTGCTGCATCTGCTGGTATTCCGTACGCCAAAATTCGAAACGCCGCTGTAACTTTTTGTAAAGTAGATAAGCGCAGTCTACCGATTCTATCCTTCCGTTGCACAAAATAGTTGTCATGGCCTTTAACAGCATTGGCAATTCGTAGGAATAAATTTCGACTCATTCGAAATCGTCTACGAAACATTGCTTCAGAATATTTTGGATACTCTGAAAAATAATCATTCCATAATCTTCGATCTGCTTATTCACGATCACGATGAATCACTCTATGACTAAAAGTCGAACCTCCATAGCTTGGGGTTGATTATCCATATTTTCCATGTAGGAAGTTATGGCAAGGTTGTGGCTAGTATATGCATTGGTTAATAATTGTGTTTGTTGTCATATTGCACTTGCAAGATTGTGCTCAGAATCTGGTGATGAGGATGAGGATGATGATGAAGAAAGGCATAGGACGTTTTCCAGTGTTGTAATTCATATTTGAATTCGTATGTTTAGAGATAGATGATAAAGGGGATAAATGCTCAATTGGTGATGCAGAACATTTTTATAGGGATAAAAGATATCACATGCATCTTTGGTATAAAATATATTTGAATTGTTTAGAACCATTATATTAGATCGCGAAGATCACATCTATTCATTGGTATGCTTGTCCTTTTCCACACATATTCCAATAAAAGATATCACATGCATCTTTGAATCAGCTTTTATCCGAATTGTTTAGAACCATTAGTTTAGATCGCGAAGATCACATCCGTTCATTGGTTTGCTTGTCCTTTTCCACACATATTCCAATAAAAGATATCGCATGCATCTTTGAATCAGCTTTTATCTGGATTGTTTAGAACCGTTAGATTAGATCACGAAGATCATATCTGTTCATCGGTCTGCTTGTATCACTACAAATACTACAATTCAATTTTAGAAGTAATACCACCTATCTTTTGAATATCAAAATCTCTTTACATTTCTTTCTAGTTTAACCGTCATTGAAATATGTCAAAACCCTCACGTTCAATCTGAACTTCCTCATACTCAAATGAAGAAGATAAACTCCTTTGTACTGTATTTATGGATATTGCCCAAGATCCTAAAAAGACCAAGGATCGCTCTGTAACAGATTTATGGGAACACATTGCACAAGAATATAAACAAATGCTACCGGCACACATTTGTACTGATCGAACTTCAAGATCGCTGCATAGTCGTTGGGCAAACATATCAACATCGGTCAGCAAACTAAGAGGATGCATTCAATAGATAGAGAACATGACCCCAAGTGGTGCATCTGAACAAGATATTGTGAGTATCTTGTAAATTTGTGTTATTTAGTTTTCTCTTTTTTTTTTTTGTTTTAATTGCGATGTTTAATTTGAATTATATTTTATTTATAACAGCTTGATAGGGCAAAGGAGTTAGTAAAGCAAGATCCCAAATTCAAAAGCGGATTTAAGTTTGATCATGTATGGCCTATTGTCAAAGACATGCAGAAATTTTGCAGAACTGGGAGCTTGCTAAATGTTGGAGGTCGAAAAAGAACTTCCGAAGGATCACAATCACAATCTTTCGGAACCGAGAAGTCAATAGGCTCTTCCTCATTTCCTGTTGATTTGAATGATGATTTTGAAACTGATGAACACTGTAATGAAATGAACAATGTAGGTGAACGTCCTATGGGAAGGAAGAAGGAAAAGATAAAGCAAAAGCTATCGGATGAGCGCAATCAATTTATTGCCGCAATGGAACAACAAACTGCACAATTCAAAGGAATGTTCGAACACAATCATGAGCTACTCCAAAAACAATATGAGCTTGATTTGTTTAAAGCTCAAAATGCAGCGAACAAAATAACATTGGTAAAACAAAAAGAAGATAACAAAATCTTAAGAGTGAATTTAAATTTGATAGAAGATCCAGTTGTGCGTGAGTCGATTAGACGCCAACAACTACAAATTGTTGCAAAGAGAAATCAAGAGTATGGAGAAGGAGTTGAATCAAATCGTGAATTTGATCAATACTTTGACAATTTGGGAGGAAGTGGGGGTGGACTAGGAAATTATTAATTTTATTATATTTTTTAAAAATTGTGTTGTATTTTCTAATATTAATATTATGTCGTATGTATTTTAATTTTTATTATGTTCTAGTCATGTTTGATGTATGTCGTATGTATTTTAATTTTTATTATGTTCTAGTTATGTTTGATGTATTTGAAATTTTAATTAATATATATTCAATATTAGTCTTGTTTCGATCGTCTCAATGAGATCTTTAAAATGGTATAATTTTTATTTAATTATACAAACTTTAAATATATGTATTTAACAAAATAAAAAATTACATATAAAACAAATAAATTGTACATTTGTAATTAGAAAAAGAAACAAGGGCAAAAGGATAATTTTTCCCCCTTCTCCATTTGCCGTGAATGAACAGTGTCGCGCCATATTAACGCCAAAAGGGATGGTGTAATGGCGCGATGGAAACCTACGTTGGAGATCAAACTTTTGCCAAAATGGCGAGATAGCGCTAAGATTTTGCAGATTTGGTGCCCCTTGGAGATGCTCTTACTATGAGTCTATCTTCAATGAAAATTAAGGGTTTTTCCTTTGCAAAGTGACATTTGGCTCCAAACCAAAAAAAAATAAAAAAGTTTTAATTTTTTCATGAAAATTCATGCAAAAACCTCTAAACTGGGTCTTTGCATTTTGACCTAGTTTTTCTCTTTTCTCTCATTTTTTTCCAATTAGGCAAAACCTTCTCAAAAAGTGATGAACGAGAATTCTCAATTGAAGATGCTCTAATAACTTCGAGAATGATTCTACATACTATATGTACAATTTAGAGATTTAAAATGTAGTAAAGTTTTTCACTATAATTATATTGGTAATTAATTAATACAATAGTACAATAAACAACAAATAAATACTCCGTAGTAATTCTACAAATTAATTAAAATAACACTAATTTCAATGAGTGAAAATCAATTCCATCAACCATGTGCGGATCCAGGTTCAATGTACTCACCCACAGTTCATTCTTCTGCAGGTGATGTCAGATAACCAGCCGCCGTGGCATCTAGCCACGGTCTACGGGAGCCTGACACATTATCTGCGTCGACGTCTGTGGGAGGATTAGAGACAATCAGTGCAGGGTATTACAGGGCCTTGGCTCATAGCGGGGGACTTCAATTCGGTCCTCAACAGGGAAGAAACTAGCAATTACAGCGCCATTTCATCACATCGCACCTCGGACTTTGTGAATTGGATCCAAGATGAGGGGCTCATCGATCTGGGCTTTTCGGGGCCGAAACTTACTTGGCTGAAGGATGGTAACGTGGACAATCTCAAGGGGGCACGGCTAGACAGAGCTATGTGCAACCCAGAATGGCGCACTAGTTTCCCAAGTGCGTGTGTTACTCATATAGCACGGATTGCCTCTGACCATGCACCTTTACTTTTACAGGTCGAAGGGAGACGTCACCAACGGGGGCCGGCGCCCTTCATCTTTCAGGCAGCTTGGCTTACTCATGCCGATGTGCATGGTGTAGTTGAGCGTACCTGGAGGGTCGGCCGACACGTTCTAGAGAACACAAAGACTTTGGCGAATGAGTTGGCAAGATGGAATAAGGAAACCTTTGGGAATGTGTTCAAAAGGAAAAGGAATATGACAAATAGCATTAATGGTATTCAAAAGATTTTGGCAAATAGACATCACAGAGGCCTCGCCAAACTCGAGGCGAAGCTTAAGGAGGACCTCGAAGACATCCTGCACCAGGAGGAACTTATTTGGTTCCAAAAATCCAGGGAGGATTGGATTTCCTCCGGGGACAGGAACACAGCATACTATCACGTAGCGGCTACAGTTCGAAAATCCAGAAACGTTATCCAAAAGCTCATAAACGAAGAGGGAGTCTGGCTTTTCAATGGCATGGAGCTCCGGGAACACATACGTACTTTCTACATCAAGTTGTTTTCAGAGGAGGCCGGTGCGGGCACAAGGGACCAGACAGATGCAAACTTCCCTCGCCTTCGCAATCTCCACTGGGCTTATTTCAATAGGGTGGTGTCGATGGGTGAAGTCCATAGCGCGCTCAAGGATATGAAACCTTTTAAAGCACCTGGGCCAGACGGTTTCCAAGCAGGGTTTTATCAGCAGATGTGGGACAAAATTAGAGGGGACATCTTCAAGCTGGTGCAAGAGGCGTTCGTGACGGGCACCATTCCAGCGGAGATAAATGACACCATTATTGCTTTGATTCCTAAAGTGCGGGCTCCGGAGAACATCAAACAATTTCGCCCTATTAGCCTTTGTAACGTCAGTTATAAGATAATTACGAAGACGATAACTAACCGACTTAAGCTCATCCTTCCCAGGATCGTGGGGCCTTTCCAGAGGTCTTTCTTCCTGGGGCGTCAGATTTCAGATAATGTTCTCATCTTTCAAGAAGTTATGCACACCATGCGAGAAAAACAGGGCACAAAAGGCTATATGGCGATTAAAATTGACCTCGAAAAGGCCTATGACCGACTGTCTTGGAGCTTCATTCAGGACACATTGGACAAAGTAGGTTTTACGGGCAAGATTAGGGATCTCATGATGACTTGCATTCAGACTTCTAGGCTCTCCGTCATATGGAACGGGGAATGACTGGAGCCATTCTACCCGGAGCGGGGCATTAGGCAGGGTGATGCTATGTCGCCGGCCATTTTTGTGCTGTGTATGGAGCGTCTTAGTTAATCTATTGTAGCTGCGGCCGACCTCAACAGATGGAAAGGTATTAAACTAGCTCCTAATTTACCTGTGCTGACACACTTATGTTTTGCAGATGACATGGTCCTCTTCACGGAGGCATCAGACAAACAGGTAGAGGTGGTGACAGAGTGCCTTGACCGGTTCTGCCGGGCCTCAGGGCAGAAGATCAGTCTGGGCAAATCCCAGGTTTTCTTCTCAAAAAACTTGGACCCGAGCTACGCAGATGGGATTGCACGACGCCTGAGCATCTCACGAACTACCGACCTGGGCAAATATCTGGGGGTGCCTGCTCTCCATGGTAGAGTAACCACTGCGACCTACTCGAACTTACTGGACAGAATCTCGGGATGTCTCGAAGGATGGAAGGTGAAAACTTTATCTTTGGCAGGGAGGGTCGTATTGGCC